GATACATCTTAGAGGAAAAAGTTAGAGTGCAATTTATATCTTTAGTCAAACTTTGAACAGATATGAGATTAAAAGTGAATTCTGGTATATATAAAACATTAAAAATCACAAATTCTTTAGAGAAATGTATGGTTCCAGCATAGTGAGCAGTGACAGTAGAACTATTGGGTAGTTTTACTGATATAGGATTGATTTTATAGAAAGTTGTAAACTGGTTTTTATCATGGGTTACATGATCTGTTGCCCCTGTGTCTATGATCCAAGAAAACATACCTTGTTTGTCCACAACAATGTCTTTATGTATTTTACTAATGCTACGAGCAGGGCCATCAACCTTTTCTATTATCTGCAAAATCTTCTTCATCTGTTCTTGGGTAAATGAATTTTGAACATAATTGATGTTATTCTGTTGGCTGATTTGTGTCTCAGGAAAGGCAGTGTAGGCACTGGCACATCCCTAATCACTTTGTCCCACCTTTTCCTGACCATTATTGTCATTCTTCTTATACCATGGTGGATAACCATGCTTAGAGTAGCATTCATCAACCGTGTGATTCATTTTATGGCAATAGGAACATTGTTTTCCTTGATTTGGATTTCTTCCTCTCCCTCTCTCTTGGCCACGTGATCCAGAACCACGTCCAAAGGCCTTCAAATTTTGTTCATTCTTCCATTGACTTTGTCTTTCAGTAGTATTGGCCAAAACTTTGATTTCATTTTGACTAGTAGAACCAGACTCATGCTTTCCTTGCCTTTCTTGTCGCATAATAAGAGAAAGACTCATTGATGCTAGGTAGAGGCTCAATTAACAATATTTGCGTTCTCACTGTGTTGTAGTACTCATTCAGGCCTTTCAAGAAACAAATAACATGCTCCATTTCTCTGTATTTGTGAGAAACTTTAGATAGATCACAACTGCGAGGAACTTTGCAGCTACAGCGAGGAATGAGTCTAAGAAATTCCAACTCTTCCCATAGGATTTTCAAATCTGTGAAATATTGATTCACAGTCTTTTCCCCTTGTCTGATAGAGTGTATTTCTTGAAGCAAATATGAAAATTTGAAGTGATCACCTTTGGAAAATCTTTCCTTTAATTCTTCCCACAATTCTTGAGCATCTTCTACATACATAACACTCTCTAATATTTGGGGTGAGAGGGTCTTGATAATTCAGGACAACACCATCATGTTGCTCCTTTCCCAAGAATCAAAAAGGGGATCGTCTTTATGAGGTTTCTTGATCCCTCCATCAATGAATTTCAATTTGTTCTTGGAGAGGAGAGCTCTTCTCATACTTTTACTCCAAGAAGTATAATTGGATTCATTTAAAACTTGTGAAATGAGGGAGATACTTGGGTTTTCTTCAGGATAAAGATAGAAGGGGCAGTAACGATTATTGAGTTGATGTGCGTTCTCCATGATAACAAGAAAAACTAAAAGAAAGGTTTAACGCCAAGAAAACCAAGAAGATTAGGCACAACGGAGGTAGGGGCAGAATAGGTACAGAACCTGCTTTGGTACCATATTAAAAAGGACAAGGCCCATTGTTTATTAATAATAGAGGCCGAAAAAGAAACAGCCCACGACGCATGGAGCAAAAGCGTGTTGGAGGCTTCTGGAATTAGAAATCTCGTGAAGTGAAGCATAACTGTGGAGAGCATTCATGGCAGCAATTGTGGTTGACGTCTGGAAGAAGAAGACTGCACCGATCGGGATGAAAGATTCATCAAGAAGTAAGAAGAGCTTTTAATGTTTCAGAATATCAGTGTTATTACATTATGTAAAACATTACAATGAGAGAAGAAAAACCCTAAATATATATAGGGTTGTAGAGGGGTGAGAAGAGAGAATCGGGATTCATAAAAATCTCAAACAGAAAATAGTTACAAACCCTTAGTCTAAACAACAAGAAATAGAAAACATTAATATAAACAAAAATCGCAAACTCATTCATATAGTGTCATCTTGAATACTCTTCCGTTAATAATTTAGACGACACCATGAAAAAAAACCAAATTGAACGAAATTTACCAAAATAGGAACAAATTGAATGTGTGAAAAAAAATGAAGACCACGTTAAACAAAGTAAACAAAAATAAAGATCATAATAGTAATTAAACATTTTCTTTATGACGAGATTTCAAATAAACTTACTCCAAGATCGTGGATTGTCATAATATAAAGCATTTAGAACTAAAGGAAAAAACCTATATTCAAGAATAAATGGTAGACACAGAGAATATTTTCAGCTTAGTAAGGTTTGGATTATAAATAAGTTTTCAAAATCTGATTTTAAATCTCTTTTGAAGTAAAAATTGGAAACATGCTTAATCTAAAAATATTTAATATATCTTAACGTAACATTGATGAGAAGATGATAAGTTATATTTATAAAATTATAAAAAATTGTTATTCACCATATTATAAGGAATAATGTGATAATGGTATGGTGACGTAAGGTAGAATAAAATTAGGGTTTCTTTGCGATATCCTTAACTTGAGATTCCTCTTAATTATAAAATACCTTTTTATAACGAGAGATTTAACTTGCGGGATTTCTTTTTTATGTTCATTAAACCCTAAAAATTTCTATGTCACTTTGATAGCTTTGCTGCTTTAATAATTAACTGGAACATTTGTAGATTTATCTGTTCCTTATAACAATACAAATTATACGATTATCGTACAAACACAAATAAGAAAGGGTGAACTAATAAATTAAACATGAAAACCACGTCACATCAAGACATGAAACTAATAAAATAGTATAAACACATAACATTTCTACATGAATTCAATTTTTCCACACAATATCATATTACTAATTCACTTTCCAGTCCAAATATAATCTAAAATTATCTTAAACTTCAAATACAATTCAAAATCAAACACAAAATGCAAAATATATAAGTATTTAATGGTAATAATTTTTTGTGTCTCTTATCCATTTATAAGATTAGAGTCTTAAAAATGATAAATCCACAATCTCTTTTAGCATTTTCTTATTTATCTCCATTTATAATCTAATAAATATAATAAAGAATCTTAACTAATAATATTAAAACACAAAATAATAGTTAAGTGAGTTGATAAACTAAGTCAGACTTTTAATGAATCAAACTCAAAATTAATTCATATTAAAATTTTAATACTTTTTTTTAACCAAATCTAACTAAAACCCGAGAACCAAGTTGACTCACATGTTCTAATAAGTTTTAACAACATTACTCTTAACAATATTAAGCTAATTTTATGCTTCCTCATTTATGATTTCGGTTCCCAAAAGTATAAAAGTTAAAAAACTTTCATTAATGAAAACATTACATGATAAATTTAGGAGGGACCAGAATAGTCGTAAGAATGTGAACGTGTGGTATGAGAGTCTCCATCGGAACTTCCTGATAAGAAGAACAATGAACATTTTGAGTCACTTATCTTTTCTTTTCCTCGAGATTCCTTAGACAAGTTGTCATTTCCATGATTCTGTATCTCAATACTTGCTCTTTCATGCACCCTTCTATCTTTCCTGTGATTATGTGTTGCACATCAAATATAAAAATAAAAAATGGCTTGGGAGCCCACAAGCTGTTAATTTAATGTGAATACCAATTATTGAAATACCAATTATAACATTTAGGCAATATAACATTTAGGCAATATAAGTTGAAATTTTGTTAGAATAGATGTTATGAATAAAAAATATTATTGAAATAACCTTTCATAGTAATGTTTAACTTCCCTATCTCATGTTTCCTTTTTCTATCTCATTGCTCTAATCCCTACACTTCATTAAACAAAGGTCTTCTCTTTTTCATTCATGTTAACTTAAACATTAACGTATTTACTTAATTAAAATTTTTTAAATATGAAAATATATTTGTACTGAATACATACTGATCGATCGACCACACAATTAGCCACCTTTAAAAATGCATTACAATCAGATTAACCGAATGGTCCATTACTATGACCATGACTGTTCGGTGTAAAAGCTAATATTTTTTATTAGCAAGATAAAAACATACTTAAATATTATTGGCCCGTGATTATGCCTACACTAATCTAATACCTACTTAGAAACCTATATATACGTAAAGAAATAAGTAACTGTATTTATTGAACATTTAAAACTTGACTATTCAAAAGGACTTGGAAAAAACTAAAAACAAAACTAAACTATGAAAGTGTGTCCCGAAACAATATTTATGAATTTGTTTCGAGTATTTAATAATCCCACATTTATTAATATATGAATGCAAATCTACAATGTGAAGAAATAATATAACAATCACCTAATTAATAAAATATTATTAAACAATAGAAATTCAATTCATAAATATAACTTTTGTATATAATTAATGAAATATAAAAACTTAAGAAATACTCGGTTAAAAACACCTAATTTTAAAAGTAAATTAAATCTTAAGAGTAAATTAAGTCTTATAATAATATTCGGAGTTAGTTACCATGGTCGTGTGATTGCGCCCTTGAACATGAACAAATTTCGCACTTTGGTCCAGTATGAGCCAGAAGAATGTGAACGTGTGGTATGATAGTCTCCATCCGAACTTCCTGATAGCAAGAACAATGAAGACTTTGAGTCACTTATCTTTTCTTTTCCTCCAGATTGCTTAGACAAGTTCTCGTTTTCATGATTTTGTATCTCAATACTTGCTCTTTCATGCATCCTTTTATCTTCGCTGCCATCATGTGTTGCACATTAAATATAAAAATAAAAAATGCTCTGGAACCTACAAACTCTGAGGCATTTATAGAAAAAATATTCATATATTCATGACAATTATAATTGATTTGTCAGTTCAATATTATTATGATTATTGTTTATAGGAGGTACCACTTTATTATTATTATCACCTATTTTTATAGGTTCGTAATTTACGTTAATCTAATAAATCTTAAAACTAAATTATTAAAAAATTCCCCATTTTATAGCTAAATTAAATCTTAAAACTAAATTATGTTTTATAATAATATTTGAAATTACCGTGGTCGTATGATTGCCGTAGAGATCAAGTCCGGGACGGGGGCCTTGCAGATGATCAAATCTCGCACTTTGATCATGAAATCAAGATTGGACTTCGGTAGAACCACGTCAGTGGAGGCCAGCTCAACGACGCCGTTTAGCCACGGTATACAAACCATAGTCTGAAACCCAAACTCATGCAACCGCCGGGCCCGTTGGCAGGCCGGTTCAGATAATAGTTCTGGCCCGGTGGCCCAAACTGTGTTCGAAGTAAAGAAAGCTTGGCCCAGCAGGCCGCTGGTGTTGACGGAGTTGTGAGCGATGGAGAGAAAAAAGAACCACTCTGTGTCAGTGATGTCTTGGTCGAGGTCATCAGGGATAGCCGAGGTGCCTAAAATTAAGGAGTTGATTAATCTGAAAACGCTATTGCGCTGGTCCTGTTCTTCGGACGACGTCGCTTTGCGGGCTTTGCCGTTGTCCTCCTCGCCATGGAAACAGCCGTCACGCCAACAGAGAAGGGAAGTGGCAGAGGAGTACTCCCAGTAAATTGCATACACCCACCTCTCTCCAGCACGTTCAAGTAGCGTCTCAAACCACCGTTGGAGGGGACTCCGATCGGGAATAAAGTGGGATTGGCGCAGCAGCCGACTGATCCTTGAGGCGGTGGATTCCGCCGTCGGCAGACCAGAGGCCTCCATTACGGAAATAGGAGTCTTGGTCAGATATGTAACCCCTTGCACTAGCTATAACGTGTTTGTTTTCTTTTTTTATTTTAGTTTTCTCAACGCGTTTCTCTGCATCAATTAATTATTATTGGATGAGGAACAAATTCATAGATAAGATGATTGTTTTTATTGAATAATGACTTTTAAACTTACATTTACATCCAACGCTATCCACAATTCATTATTTTTTTTATGTTTTTATTGTTTAAATTTATTAATATATTTTCACAATTTTTATTTTTTATTTTAATATTATGGATATGTCTACTTGGTAATCACTTATGAAAATTAAAAAGGTTATGAATTTTTTTACGCGCTATTGCCCCAATCTTTTCCTGTAATCTAACTTTACACATCCGAACTGCAAAATAAACTTTTTTTTTCTTCTTACGAAGAGAAGTCAACTCACGCAAAGAATGTGGATTGCATGAAGCATTTGAACCAAAGGAATAAAACTACGTTCAATGAGAGAGGGTACATACAGAGAAGAATTTCAGTTTACTAGGGTTTGGATTATAAATAAGTCTCCAAAAGCTCATTTCTATACAAAGGAATGTATAAAATCTATGCCAAAGTATGGGGTTGGGAAGTAAGCATGTGGCTAGGAAGGTAAGGAATGATAACTAAGAATGAGAACTCCGTTAAGGGAAGTAGCCCACTTTTGAAAAAAAAAAATCCCTTATGAGATCTTTAATTGAGAGAATACAAAATAAGTTCCAATGCCCCTAGCAAGGATCCAGATTAATGTAAGTTTGATTTTATTATAAGATTTTTTAATTAACTTTTAAAGATACAATATTTAACTTGGGTCATATATCGAGTTAGGTTATCTCAAGTTGAAAGAAATGATAGGGTTGACTGAGGTTGAAAAGAGTCATTTTAAACAAAAATTTGAAACAAGTTCTCCCGAACCAAGGGTCAATATGCACTAATATGGACCAGAGGTTGAAACGGATAAAAAATTGAGACATATTGAAGTCAAGAAGGGTCGACTCGACTTAAAGGATGAGATCAACCAAATCGAATTTACGACTGAGATAATCGGCATGAGTCGAAGGTCGAGACGATTAACTCAAACCTAAGGTCTATGTTGATTGGGGAGCTATGTAGTTAAACCCATATCTCACATATGAGTTTTTGATTATGACAAAAGAAATGTTTTATAGTTTCTTGCACAATAAAATGACAAAATTGTTGCTTGATTATATATGTGTATGTGCTTGAACTATCTGTGATGTGTATTCATTGTTTACAAATGAATCATTGATTGTAACATTTTGCACATTGCATATCTGCATGAATTAATCGATTACACTGTTTGCATAATCTGTTAAATTCATCAGATATTTAGTATATGTTTAATAGAGGCAAAACATCAAGTTTTAACCCATTAAATTATGTAGATAATCAATTAAAACTCGTGGTTATGTCTGCACATGTTTACTGAATGCATTGATGTGTTGTGTATGAAAGAAGTTTTCAAAATGTTTAAATATGAAACTTAACTGAATACGTTAATTTTCTAATCGGTTAAAATGTGTTATAACTGAATTTTTTTTTTCTTGAAAGCCATGACTCTCGTTACCAGTCATATTTTTCATATTTTTAATGTTGTGGTGTGAGAACCCAAAATATTATAATAAATATTTCTCTTTTTCGCATAACTGAGATAGTCAACGTCTATTGTTGTATGAGAGTGATCCGGTGTTTAAGTGTTAAGTGTACGAAATTTTATTCGGGACTATGAGAATATCATAGTATGTACGAATATATTTTTTAAGTCAGAATATATATCTAATACAGTATGAAATTTATACTGTCTATGATTGTATTACAGTACATGTAATCCTTGCTTTTGGACAAGGAAAAACTGTAGCTCCTGTGAATTATTCATCTTTCATGTGTTTTGTCCTCTTTTCCCACACAATTTCCTTGTTTCCTTCCTTTCCCCCACACGCACAGGGTATGGTTTTCCATCTTTAGACTTTTTTTTTTTGCTTCCTATCAGACTTTTCCTTATGATAGCCAATTGAAACAATCGTGCACAGGACCTTGATAGGTAACGACAAAGGCAATTAACGTAGATTAAGGGTACTAAGGCCGTGTGATATTCTGTTGAAGGGTCATACACTAATTTTGTTTCTTGGAAGACTAGTTGTTTACTGCCAAGTGTACATGTTGTCCATCTAGGCTGTTTAAGATTCCCTTCTTTCTCTTTATAGTGCAGCTGAAATGGTTGCTGCCAAGTGTATTTGATAGTTTTATCGAGACCAAGTGCACATGTTAAGTTTATTTTTTTAATAATCGAGACCAATGCTAGTCTTATCATTCACGGTTTAGCAAATAAAGTGGAGACTCTGTCAGAATACAATAAATGACTGATTACTTTTAGTTAGCTTTTGGTTCTTTTAGTTCCTTTAGTTTAGTTTCGTTCTATATATATTTACTCCTTTACCTTTTGTAAACATAAGTTTCAGATACCCATAAGCAATAATAGACTTTACTTTTTTACACGGTGCTTTCTCTTTGTTCTCTCTCTGTAAGTTTGCTTTTCTCTGTGCTACAATGTCGGTGAACATTCAGATGCTCCGATTGCATATTTTCTCTTGATGGTATCAGAGCTCTTCATTTGAAGAGCTCTGTTGCGCCACTCTGACTCTTTCTTTTCTTTATTTTCTTTTCTTTTCTTGGTCTTCTTTCTGTTTTCTTGGTTCACTTCTTCACAGGCTTCTTGCACAATGGCCGACGATCATACC